CATATTTGTACGTTATAAGTCGTCTTCTCGATTAATAAGTGCATATGCACTTATAATAAGTGAAATTTCACTCAGAATAAGTGAAAAATTCACTTATTTATAAGTGTATATGCACTTATTGATCGAGAGGACGACTTATAACGTACAATAAGTGAAATTTCACATATTCAGATTTAGAGAGTAAGGAATTAGTATTCAGAAAAATTTTCTTTATGGAATATAATTTTCATTTAGAAAAATTTTCATTTCACGAACGATTTTATTCTTTTTTTTTAACTATAGTTTCATTAAAGGAGAATTTTAGATTTTTTATTTCTGCTAAATAGAAATTTCACTGAATACAAATTGTGCTAATTAGAAATAATACGAAATAAAAATTCTGCTAAATATAAATTCTACTTAATATAAACTCTGCTAAATATGAATTCTGCTCTCTAGAAATTCTGCTAAATAGAAATTCTACTAAATAAAAATTCTGCTAAATATAAAATTTTTCTAAATAGAAATTCCACTATTTAGGAGTTTTGCTAAATAAAAATTCTGCTAAATAGAAATTGTACGAAATAAAAATTCTTTCTAACAATCGAGACAATAATTAAAAAAAAAATTTCCTAATAAGAAACATTTCTTTTAAATAAAAATTCCTCCAAATAGAAAAAATCGTATTTAGAAATAAGAATTCATTTCGTTGAACAATCCACTAAATCCATCAAAAGTTTAATTAAATAAAAACTCTATTTATCAAATATTAAAAAAAAAAAAGATGAACCCCCATATCACCGAAAATATTTGCCTCTACACCCGTTTGAAATGTAATAAACCAATCAATGTTCATTGAATAATAGTGAGAGGAAAAAAACTGTTTTCTATATACAATACTGTATATATATATAACCAGTTGAGAAATAATTATTCACGCAAATTGGAGAGCTGCTCTCGACAGACTTGCCTTGTTAGTGGGAAATTTAACAACACGGAATATATTCATGTTCAATGTGAATGGTTATTCAAGAGGAAAATAATTGTGTGATCTTATTTCCATTTCCTTTTTTTCTTTTATTTACACAATAATTTCTTTCTCTTAAATCTGTCGATGATCATTGTCACGTTTCAAGGAAAATGGTTTTTCCTATAATGTGCTATATTTATAAATTTAATAATACGTATATAATAAATTTTATGCATTATTAAACATATTGCTATTAATATAATATGTGAACAATAATTTTTTATTTTGTAATTATTAATAATTTTTTAATAATTTTTTATGCTTTCAAAATTTTTTATTTACAAATAGCAACTTTAATTTTTGAATAATTACAAATTTCAGGAAAGTATTGGAGTGTTTTTAAAATTTTGATAAATATTTTTCGACAGAATTTATTTTCTAAAATTTTAATAAAATTCTTCGCAACAATTAAATAATTTTTATAAATAATACAATTTTTCTCAAGAATTTACTTATTTTTAATACAATTCTGATAAACTTTTTCGAAAGGATTCAATTATTTAAAAAAAAAAACTGTAATACAATTTTTCTAAAGGATTCAATTATTCTCAAAAATTTTGATAACATTATTTTTTGTAAGAATTGATTTATTTTCATAAATAATAAATTTCTTCATAATGAATTTAATTACTTTCAGAAGAATTTTTATACAATTTCTTCAAAGAAATCAATTATTTTCTAAAATTGTAATAAAATTCAGAAAAAAATTCAAATATTTCCAACAAATTTTCATTAAATTCAATAAAGTTAATAAAAAAACTATTATTTTCAAAAAATCTGAAGAAATTCTTCAAAAGAATTAAATTATTTACGAAAACTAATATAATGGTGCAATGAAATTTAATTTTCTGTTGATAATTTTGATAAAATTTAATAATAAAATTATTAATTATCAATTATTAACAAAATCGACTATATTTTAATAAAATTCTTTGAATAAATTCAATCATTTTACTGAATTGCAATAAAATTGTGAGAAGAATTTTATTTTATTTTCTAAAATTTTTAATGAAATTTAATAATCAAAATGTTTAATTACAATTATTATCAATCACGATTATTTTGAAAATTGGAAATAAATTAAAATAAAAAATTACTTTCAAAATTGTCAATTAAAATTTAAAATTATTACAAAAATCTTTTATTTAAAAATTTTTTTTTTTAATTCTTCAAAACAATGAAATTATTTTCATAAATGTTAATAAAGATCTTCAAGAGAATTCAATTATTATCAATAAAATTTTAATGAATTTTCTCCAATAATAAATTAAATTATTTTCCAAAATTTTGATAAAATTCTTCGAGGGAATTCAATTATTTTCAGTAGAATTTTCATAAAATTCAATGAATATTATTTTCAAAAAAAACTATTATTTTTAAAAAGCCTAAAGAAATTCTTCAAAAAAATTAAATTATTTACGAAAACTCTAATATAATGGTTCAATGGAATTTTAATTTTCTATTAATAATTTTTATAAAATGTAATAATAAAATTATTAGTTATCAATTTATTAACAAAATCGACTATATTTTAATAAAATTCTTTGAATAAATTCAATCATTTTACTAAATTGCAATTAAATTGATGAGAATAATTTTATTTTATTTTCTTAAAATTTTTAATAAAATTCAATGATTAATTTGAAATAAAAAATTACTTTTAAAGTTTTCAATTGAAATTATTGAAAAAATCTATTATTTTTTTTTAAATTCAAAAAATTCTTCAATACAATGAAATTATTTTCTAAATTTTGATAAAATTCTTGTCAAGAATGCAATGATTTGAAATAAATTAATTTTAAAATTGATTATTTTATTGATAATAGTATTAATTAACAATTAGCAGTCATTTCTCGATAGATAAACCTTTAGTAAATTGAAATTCTTTAAAATTGACATTCATTTCTGGTTCCTTGAAAATATTTTGGTAGGTGAACGTAGTCAGGGTTGGACCCCCGCAATTACTAATTTCTAATTTTATTCATTGTTAAGAATTATTTACAATTTGCTTATTATTGTAACAATTTATAATAATATTCATTAGTGTGCTAATATTATTATTTGCTTTCTGTTAAAACCGTCTTTTAAATTATAAAATAATAATTATTATTAATATATATTATTTTTATTATATTACAATTATAATAATTATTACAATAATTATATATATAATAAATAATAAATATTATAATAAATAACAATTATAATATAATATTATTATTAATGTTAATATGCACATAATATGTCATTTGTCTGTTAAACTATTTGTTTACACAATTTCGTAGATTGCTGAAGCATGCGCTTTCATAACTCTTAAGTTAATGGTTGTTAGTGTGAGCGAGAGATAGAGAGAGATGGAAAATCAAAGACTCAAAGTTCCAAGTGGTAACTTTCGGTCCAAAGTTACACTATGGGAAATTTCGAGAGAAAATTATTCAAGCATTCATTTCAAAATTTGCGACGTGCAAGAAGTTCCTTTTCAAGAAAGTTTACGTTAAGGTTAACGTCGACCTAAGACCTTCTTGCTGAATTCAATTCACAATTAATTGCCCACTCGTTAAACGTTTTAGTGCACTCGTTGCAAATCTTAATTTTCTCTTTTCCTTTCTTCCTTCTCGTCGCAATGTAGATATATATTTTTTCTCTCCCTCTTCACGTACTGCCTTAAATATGTTGTTTTTTGGTCTCCAAAAAAGAAAAGAAGAGTTGAAAAAAAATATCCGTAAAGTAGAGAACCTATTTAAATTCGCTTTGCTCGGAATTTCACGGACATTTTCAGAACAAAAAAAGAATGTGCTGTCGTTTGCAGAGCTTTTTAAAAGTTTATGAGCAATCGTAGGGCACACACACAGAGAGACACACATTTATGTATATATATATATATAAATCCACGTCTCACTTCATGGCCAATATCCTTTTCATACAAATTCATGCGTTTCATTTGAATTTCACAAGAAAAACAATTTATATTCTTCTGAGGCTCAAGAAACGTCATTTTATGCGGTCTTCGGCGCAGGTAAAGCTTTTGCGGTTATATTCCGTATACTCGAGTCATTGCATAAAATTCTATCTATGTCAAGTATTCATAAAATTCTCTTTATTCAGTTTATCATTTTTCCCTCTTTCAAAGTTCTGATTTTAATTGTTTTTCCTCTTTAAAAAATGGAGTGCTTAATCTTTCCTTTTTAGATCTAATTTTAAAATGAGGGGAAATTTATTATTTCTTATCAAAAATTTTTCTGAAAATAAAAATGTTTTTTTTGTAAATTTTTTGTAACTGGGTGTGATTTTTCTGAAAGTGACATTTTTGATGTCTTGATGAATATTCTCTAATATAATTATTAACCATTTTCATAGTTAATATTTAGTACATACTGATCATTTAAACAAAAATTAAACAATTTTATTGAAACTGAATTTATGCAATTGCTAACATAATTTCATTCCTTTTAACATGTTTCTAATAGAACTTCTATAAAAAAACTAAATTTTTATTTTTTAATTGTTTTCGGAATCGCTGAATTCGAATTTTTGTTTCAAAAGAAAAAATTCAAAATGTCGACCAAAAAAATTTTTAGTTTAACGACTTTTAAATATTTTTGGTCACCATTTTGAATTTTTTATTCTCTACCAAAAATTTTGAGGCAAAGTTATAAATTTCAAAATAAAAATATTTATTTTTAAATAAAATGTTCACTGTTTTTTTAAGGATATCGAATTGAGAAAAAAATTATATCAAAATAGTTGCGAAGCAACATTTTGATACGATTTTTGTCTCAATTTGATATCCTTAAAAAAATAGTGTTATTTAACTTCATTTAAAAATAAATATTCATTAGTTAATAATTTTCGAAAAAGCTAAAAAAAATTACAATTTTATATTAATTTAAAAATTTAAAAATTACTCTAATTACTGGAACGACAAAATAGTTTTTCCATGTATCCTTTGAAAATTATTATATTATTCACAAAAAACAGTATTTATTTAAAAATTAAATATTTAATTGAGTTTTCAATTAATTGAAATTAAATTTTTCAATATGAGACAATAAAGTTTTTTTGTTTTGAGTGTGTATGTTTAATTTACAGGGACTTTTGAATCGTTTACTTAACGGCGATTTCGAGCTGGCATTTAACTGCAATCAACGTCTATAGATGGGTGCTGCTGCGGTTATTATTATTAAGAAAACTTACCTTCCCACATGGTCTGAAAAAATATTCAGTAAGTACACATAAGAAAAAATATATACGAAAAAAAAATTTTTTTTTTTTGGTTATTAATTCAATTTATTTTATCTTAAAATTTAATTAATAATAGAAAAAAAATCCAGTTGACTTGGCAGTGAAAGGGTGATTTTCTTTCTCTATTTTTTCAAACAATATTATGCTGGCTTTTTTTCTTTTCTTTTTTTTTTGAGAACCCGTTCAATTAGGACTTTATAATAACAACGTTTTCCAATTTGCACAAATATTAGCTAATTACTTTTTTTTAAGGGAATTACTGGAATATATCGCGAATTAAGTTTGATGTGATCTTAGTAAAAGTGTTTTTAAAAAAATCTGTAAATAATGTGTAAAAAAATGTGTACAAAATGTGTACAACATGTGTTAAAAAATGTATTAAAAAATGTGCTAAAAAATATGGAAAAAAATTGTAAAATACAATTCTTCCTCTATGAAGTAGCAAAATAGAAAATTTTTTAAAAAATTAAAGAAACATTGAAAAAAGTCAAAGAAAAATTTCTGAGAAAATTGCTTTTGTCTTGAAATTAGTTCTTTTATTTACCTTTGGCAATTACGGAATAAAAAATAATAAATAATTATTTTTTCGATTTTTCCCGATCGATTGAATTTAAAATTACATTTTAATTTAAAATTTAAAAGGAAAATTGTTTATTATACTTTAAAAACTGTCATGCACAGAAATGAGATTTTATTTGGAAAATATACTAAAAAATTAATTGAATTTCATGAAAAAAAAATAATTAGCTACGTGAAAAAATTAATTACATTTACTAAAAAATTTATTAGGTAGATCAGAAAATTAATTAAACGTGTCATAAAAAATTGTCAAAAAAAAAATTCTCGAAACGTTAATCTAAAAATGTAATTAAAATATTATAAACGAATTTTAATTCTTATTGTAATATTTTTAGTATGAATATTATTTATTGAATATAATTTATTTTTCATATAGAAAACTATTATTTTTTAATTCAAAATTCATATATGAAAATTTGCGACGGGTTAAATTACAAATTATAGTCAATTTTGTGTCCAAAGGGTATTTATATTTATTATTTTATTTTGCCAAAATAAATTATATAATAATTAAGTTAACTTAATTTTCAATGGTAACGGCTCCTATTTTATTGTTTAAATTACAGGCTAAATTTAATGCAGCTACAAGTTACGTTATCGGCACTCGACCTCGTCTCGTTTATCTTTGTTTTTTTTTATTATAAATTTTCCCTCTCTTTCTTCTTCTATTTCAATAATGACCAAGCAGTAAGGCGGCAATTGCGGGTAAACAAGCCAGGAAACCAGAATTGACGGTAATTCTAAACCCCCTTTCTATCTTTACAACCACCCCCACCTTCTGGTGACTATATATGTATGTATACACACACACACACATATATATATATATATCCTATCACTGCCAAATTGTCTGGTTTTGCTTCTATTCAGGTAGATACCAATCTTAAATAGCTTTCATGTATAATACACTAAATTGCTATATATATATAAATGGGGCATTCTTTCTAAAATGTCCCAGTTTAAAAAAGAAAAAAGAAAAGAAAGTTTTCAAATTGGCTTGAAATTTCGGTAAATTGTTGTCCTAATGTGAAAGTGAAAAAAAAAATCCCTCTAAACTGTATTAGCTCATTTGGGGAAAATTTGTTGAAAGCAGAGTTACTTTTTGGGTAATTCGTTTTTGAAATATTTAACAATATTTAAAGTTCTCCTCTAACTTTTATACGTAATTTATTTTTTATTTCGATGGTTTTTTTTTGAAAGCATTAAATTTTTATTTTTGAAAAATAAAGGAATAGAATAACAGATTAATTAACAAGACCAAATTATTTCCATTTCTTTTATTTTCTTACTTTATTCGCGATTTATTTATTTTTTTTTTATTTACAAATAAACGCGACAGGCACTTTTTTAATTTTATTATTTTCTTTTATTTAAAACATTTTTTCCCTCTATTTTACTATTGTTTTTCTTTTGCTTCTATTTTTTTCTTGTTTTGCCTTTTTTTGTGCTTTAATTTTTTTCCTTGTTTTGTCTTTTTTCTCATTTTTCTGCTTTCATTTTTTCTTTTTTACCTTTTTCACTCTTTTTTATTTTTTTTTAATTTTATTTTCATCTTTATTTAAAATAGATTTAGAGTTTTTTTCCCTTTGCTTAGACAATCAATTTAGTGAAATTTCAAAATTTCGAGAGTCAATTTTTTAAAAAAGATTTTCTCTATTTTTTAAAACTGAGACAAATGAGAAAAAATGCCAGATTATTATAGTTCTTTTTTTTGTACAATCATTCGAGAGAGAGAGATGAACTCAACAGGCGACGCTCGTTTCGAAAACTATTTCTCCGTATATAATACTACAAGTATTACACCAGAGAGCAATATTTCCGACCAAGTCTCGAAAATCGAGAACTCTTCCCCTGATCCGATTGGTCTGATAATGATATTGAGAGATCGGAATGAATTTTTCTGTCACAGGGCCATCGTGAAAATTGTCGACTATTCTCAGATATTCCTCTTCGCATTTCTTTCCCTTGTTTTTCGATTTTTATTACATTTCCCCTTTATTATTATTATTATTTACTTTTTTATTTTATTTATTTTTATTTATTCTTTTTCCTGAAAAAAATTACTTTTCACAAATAATTCCATTGTTAGAACTCTTTTTAGTAAAGAAAATATCCGGAAGAAAGAAAAAGTAAATTTAATTAATTAAAAAACAAATAAATAATTAAACATAAAAAAATTAACAACAATTAATTTACAAAAATATGTCAGTAAATAAGAAAAAAATATCAGTGAAAGAATTAGAGACTAAATTATAATTTAACGAAATTATATTCAAAATTAATTTGTTTTCCAATTTATTTTTTCGTGAGAAAATCTTTCTTTTAGGAAAGGTAAAAAAAGTAGCTTTTTCTTTAAAAAACGTAAGCTGTAGTTTTTTTTTTTTTAAAGAAAAAAGGTATAAATTTTTTTTACATTTCTTTGGTGTGTGTGTATGAAAAAATTTCTTTTTGTCGTTTACTTTGTAGAGTTTATAATTAATTATGAAAGTAATTAATAATACATTCAATTTAGAATCCAGAGTCAATTTCTATGAAAATTTCATTATAATTCCCTTTACATTGCTCTATAACGTTTATTTGCCTCCAGCTAATAAATTTCTTCGTTCAATGGAGAAACAGAGATTTGTCTGCAATAAGATTAATTTCTCTTATTTAATACTCTTAATTAATACTATTACGGTACTATAAATTACTTCCATTCTTATCTCACTGACTGCTAATTTACATTCCCTTATAACAAATTATCATCTTTGTAATTTTCAATGAATATGTTTCTAATTATTATTTTTATTATTATTTCCTCTATAACATTATATTCGACTATAATAATATTATGTTAATTATGTGAACTTCAAACATATATTAATTATACTATTTTATTGTATATCTTTATATTGTCATATTATATTATTTTCATAAATAAATATAGAAATAAATATTAAATTTTAAAATATGAACTATATTAACTTTAATAATAATAATTTTATAAATTATTTTTTACTAAAAATGTAATTAATAAAAAATTAAAAATAAATAATAAAATGAATACAGCTAAGTATTGATTCTACTATTTTGTACAAATTTTGTATTGTAGTTAAATTAACCATAACAAATATTATTATTATTATTTTTAAAATTAAATAGATACCTATCAATTTAATTAAGAAAAAATCAATTAATCAAGGAATTGATTTATTCAATTCTAAAAACTAAATAAATAAATATTTATTCCAAAAAGTGAATAAATGAATAAAAATTAATTAAAAATTATGTAGTGTTAAAAATTAGAAACAAAAATCTCGTGAGTTAATTCATTAAAAAATTTTTTTAAAGAAAATAATTCAGAAATGAAAATAAAGTTTTCCTCTATCAATAGACAATAAGGGAAAAAATTGACCTGGATTAAAAAGTTTTTCCCATGATAAGCACAAATTTTCTTTACATACAAATCTTGAAGTAAACATAAAGTAACTTTAATGTGCCGTAATTTTCTGTGAATTGTCCATTTGGGAAAAATACTTATTCCTCTTATTCTTTTTTTTGGGGGGAAAGTCACGTCTGAAAAGTCAAGGAAAATAAAGAGGAATGCGGAATTCGCCTGTCACGATGGCCCTTGTGAATTGCATGCACTTTGTGGATTCATGTGCAAAACCCCAAAAATTCAGACACAATTATACGAGTTGATATCGTGTTTTGTTGAAAATTTATTGAGAAAAAAAAATTTAAAATAGAAATCTTTACAAAAAAAAATTTTTTTTTAAAATATTTCTGACTCGGTATAATTGTGCTTCAATCAGGACGCATGAATTTTAATAATTTTTATGTTTATTTAATGAACCTGGTTTCATTTTTTTCATGAGAAAATTTTTATTCAAGCGAAATTTAATTTAATTAAATTTTCTCTTTAGCTAAATTTTCCAAAAAATATATTTTTTATTTAAAAAATTCCTATTATTCCATATTATTATTAAGCAAAATTTTTATTTAATTCTTTATTGAACAGAATTTTTATTCAAAACAATTTTATTCAAAACAATTTTATTTGAAAGAATTTTTATACAAATAATTTTTTTATTTAGAAGAATTAACAATTTAGGAAAATTTTTATTCAGATAAATATTTAAGTTAAATAAAATCTCTGCTAAATGGTAATTTTCAAAAATAAAAATTTTGTTAAATAAAAATTTCGATAAATAAAAATGTTCATCATTAGAAATTCTGTTAAATAAGAATTCTACTGAATAAAAAAGTTCATCAATAGAAATTCTGTAAAATAAAAATTCAGCTAAATAAAAATTTCCTTAAGAAGAAATTCTGCTAACTAAATTTCTATTAAATAATTTTGCCAAATGGAATTCTAACAGGCAAAATTTTATTAAGCAGAATTATTAATTTGGTTAA